ATGTAGCAAAAGGCTAGCTTAAAGGTAAATGTAGCAAAAGGCTAGCTAAAATGTAATCTCAGAAGTCTAAAAGCTGTAGTGGCATAGTGCTAGCTAAAACTACCAAAAGGCTAATTAAAATCGAAGAGTAGCAAAAGGTTAGCTAAAGGCTAATGTAGCACATTGCTATCTAAAAGTAAAGAACAGAGCTAAAATCTAAACATAACAAAAGGTTAGCCCAAAGCTAAAAGTTAAAAAGGCTAAAAGCTAAAACAGCAAGTGCAAGCTAAAATGACCAAAGGGCTTACTAAAATCTAAAAGTAGCAAAAATCTGTCTAATAGCTAATGTAACAAATTGCTAGCTAAAAGTAATAAAAAGCTGAAATCTAAAAATAACAAGGCTAGCTAAATGTAGCTAAAGCGTCTAAAGGCTTACTAAAGACTGAAAGTATCACGAGAACACAAACCCAGAACCAGCTGCTGAAGCAGATGTCAGAGAAATGTTTCGAAGGAATTGAAGAGATTTTAATGTATTTTAAGTTAAATAGTTTTTAAATTAATTTCTGAAGAATCAAAACTACTGAACATTTTTTACACTAAAACAAGAAATAAATTCATAATTAATCACTGTCCTTAGAAAGGACATACGGTTAATATTTATATGATTTTCACATTTAAAATGCCTGTCCTGTTGTCATGGTTACACATTTTTAGCTCTTTAGAAGCAGCAGTGGACAAACAAAAGACCAGCAGGTCTGTGGGATGTGGTACTGGTCCAGACTCTGGCCCAGCATGGACTCTAAGCTCGGCTTAGTGCTGGGAAACAAATTAAAAACGTGTTTGTGTTGCAGATAGAACAGGTGAGCCAGCTGGCAGCACTGGTCCAGGCCCAGTTGGAGTACCACAGCCGTTCCTCTGAAATCCTCCAACAGCTCTCCAGCAAGATGGAGGACAGGTATCGATCCGTCCTCCCACCTCAGGACAGAAATAAGGCTGAAGAAATAAACCTGCGTGGTTCCACTGAACGTTCTGCATATTCATCTTTTCCTTCAGGATAAAAGAAGTGTCCAGTAAACCCAGGAAGGAGTACACCCCCAAACCCAGAATGACCCTGGAGCTTCTGCCCCCCAACGAGAGCCACAATGGGGGGATCCACTCAGCCAAATCCCCCGGAAGATCACCAGGTAAATGGAAAGGTTCACCCCTCTGATGGGTGGTCAGGGTGGGACAAACCAGTGTGTGTGACAGAAAGACTCGCTTTCCTTTTTGTCTGTTTGCTCGCAGCACCGATGGACCAGCCATGCTGTCGAGCGCTCTACGACTTTGAGCCGGAGAACGAAGGCGAGCTTGGCTTCAAAGAGGGTGACGTCATCACCCTGACCAATCAGATTGACGAAAACTGGTACGAGGGCATGATCAACGGCCAGTCGGGCTTCTTTCCCATCAACTACGTGGATATCTTGGTGCCGCTCCCGCATTAGTGTCCGTCAGCGGCCCGATTCTTTCCCGTCTCGACCGAGACACCCGGAAAACAGCCTGTATCTGCAGAAATGACAAACCACGCCCTCTTTCTACTTCTTCTTCTGTGCTTCTGTGTGATTCTGCTTTCACAAAGAGGGAGAGGCGCTGGACAACACGAGACCTTAAAGAGACAGGATGAGAAGAGGATGGTTGTAGAGAGAGATGCGGTAAAGGAGGACTGAGAGAAACGAGAAGACGAAGAGACGATCATCTTTCAGAGCCTGGTGCGCAGCCTGGCAGCACCGGACACCCATGAGGCTTTGGAGTCTTGAAAAAGGCACGGTGTAAATGTATGTGCATGTCTGTCGGTGTGTTTCAGCTCGTGCTCCGTTCTGATGAAGCCGTCACACGTTCCTGCTCGTCACACAGCTGACGCCTTGTTTCCTATCTTCCTCTTGAGGTTTCTGTCTTTTCTACCTTGACTTGCCTTCTTGTGCTTTTCTTCAGACGTACGTGTTTCACCAACCGTCACTGGTGGCCCTACTTTCTCTCCTCCTCTCTATATATCTGCCTTCGTTGGCTAGCACTGCCTTTTAGCATGGCTCCATACGCTATGGAGACAATCGTCTTGTGTTCCAGAGTCGCAGAGGGTCCGTCAGACCTCTCTGTTGTTGAGACGATCTTGTCCTTGTTTTAGCTCTTCTCGTTGTGAACTCTGCTTTTCAAGGAGTACTACATAAACTTCAGCTCCGTGGCTGGATGCATGATGTGGCCACATTTATGGCGATTAGACACCAGGGACATTACGCTTTCACAAGTATACGTCTGGAATAAAGCTCTACTTGGAATGAGTTGCTTTCCAGGATGAAGTCACTTGTTTTTAACCTTTTATTTTATTTGATATTTAAGAGGGTTTTAAAAGCTTGAAGTGAAAGAAAACTTGTACCCCACAACCATCAGCTAAAATGAATAGCAAGGACCACTCTGAGTACACACTGGAGTAAATTACGGTTGTATACGTTGGCAGTTTGAAGTGTGTATCTGGAGCAGCTGCTTGCGGCGTTGTCTATTTTCTGGACAGATTTACAGATACCATAAAGAACCTTTTCATTCACAACGCTAATGATTAGATCCTGTTTTCCTACTCGGTTATTGATCACTGCCTCGCTGAAGTACACATACCTGTAAGTAAAACACAGGAATTTACAAATGATTTTAAATACAGTAATCCCAACAAGAACTAACACAACAAATGTCGGTGTTGGTCTGAATCAGAATATCCAGGAAACAGTTTCTGTAAATTATAGAATTGTTACGTAATCAAATGGTCTTGCCATCGCCAAGGTTTTTGATTTTTGACCAATCAATGGAACAAAATCTGATAAAAGTCGAACAAAACAAGCAGCAGCTTGATGTAGTGAGTGTTTCTGTCTGAAAACCTCGTGGCGCCTTTAGTTTACTGGAACCAGGCTTTACAGTCGCAGGCTACTGGAACCAACAAACGTTGCTTTGTAAGGTTGTGAGTTTTCTCCAAAGAACATCGAAGCTGTTCAGTCGGGTTGTGACGGTAGTCGGGTCTTTTTTGGGACGTTTGTTGGTTTGAGTTTTGAAATGTCGGCATTTTGGGCCAAGCAAACCAGAACTACATTTTTCTTTTGGTTCAGTCAAGAAAAATCAAACAAATGTGAATGCACCGTTGAATTTCTGTAGAACGTACTAGAACAGGGGTTCTTAAACCACTGTACCCATATTACCTGTAGTGTGCAAGCTTTCTCTAGTGGTACTGACATCACCCAGTTTACAAGTTCGGCTAACGGCTTGTGCCTTCGTCCTACAGGAGCAAGACCATCGAGAGTCCAAAAAATTAGCCAAATTTTTCCGCAATCTTTTGGTGAGCAGGCAATGATCTTTGAGGTTCTCCAAAGATTTCTCAGTGATCTTTCAGTAAACGCCATGTTCTCCGTGGTCTAAATCAAGTTTTGATCTGTCACTGTTCGTCTCTCAGAATGCTCAGCGATCTCTAAGATCACTCAAGGATCTTGTACAATTCCATTAAAATTCAGAAAAAATAATTTACCAGTAGGTCTCTAGAGCATTTCAGCACAAACAGGTTTTAAGGCTGGGGGAGTTGGAGACTGCAGAGATTCTTGGTCACTCGGGGGTTGTGCAGTGGTCTCCGTCCAGTGGAACAGGGATCCTTAAGGCTTGTGTGTGGTCTCTGTAACGGCAAACCCTCTGGAACCTTTTTAATGTCCGTGTTGTTATGTTCTTTTTTTTTATGTGCTCCAGCTCCACATTTTGTTTAAGAGGCTTATTGTTGTGCAAGTCAGTGGTGCAAAAAAACAAATTCTGGACTGCACATGGTCTGCCTTAAAGGTTTCTACAGATCCTTGTAGACCGATCCAGGGGACAAATTCACAACAAGCAGGCTCACAGTTGGGTAGATGCATATATCAAGTGGTATATACTTCTTAAAAAACTGTCCAGTGTCATTTTTCATAGATTTAAAACCTTCGGCTTTGTTGTTGCCGTTTTTGAAGTCCTTTCATGTGTCTGAGCTGTGACTTTAAAGAGGCATCGAGTTTAACAAAAGCTGTTTGAGGCGGTCCTAAGGGAGGTACCTAGAGATCCTACCCTTCTTTGGGGGTGATACGTATGTGGTTTAAAAAGTTTGAGGACCACTGTTGTAGAACATCCTGGCAGCCTTTCTGCCCGTGGAAGGATGAAATTCTACAAGCTTGGTGTTGCTCACAAACTTTTTAACCTTACTGTGTGGTTCAGAAATCTTTGGTTATTCGGAGCTAGTTTCCTTACACAGTTCCAAAGATGTTTCTGTAGTCACAAGCACTCAGAGTTCCCATTGGGATTAGCAAACAGTCACTGTTGGTGGTGGTAAATATAGTCCATGGTTGTGCTGGTTGGAGTTTATCGTTACCAGAACAGCAGAAACGGTACAGTTGCTACAACCGTGACTCCCATTAGAAGCTATATACCCACTGAGTTTCTGTCATCAGCAGTATTCTTTATAAAGTGTTTCAAAAAGATTGTTGGAAACCTGTGAAACGTTAACTGTTGGATGCTCTCAGCTGTTTACCCATGTTAAGCTATACAAGTGGTGTTAACGTTACAGTGCCGGTAATCTGATGTGTATGGTTTTTGAAGTTGGTTTAGCTACATGTTACCATTTTTTAAGCTAGAGGACACGTTCAGATTGTGGATTGGTTCAAAGTTTAATTAATGGTTAGGATAGTAATTTTTTACTCTGCATTACTGTATAGGAATCTGTACTAGCATGGCTAATGCTAATGAGCCAATAATGGCTGTTCGGCCATTTTCGTCACATTCCTGCCTTTGTGCTTTAATGTTGCAGTATTGAGCAGTGCTTAAAATTATTTAGTGGTTGAATACCAAATACCTCATATTAAATGTAACATTTAATATAAAAACTGGTTAAAATAAATCATTTTGATCGCCTCTAAGCAGTGTTTTTATTTGTAACCTAACATCTATTCTAACACACGTCAGCAGTTGTTTTAAATGGACAACAAAAAATACGACCGCTGAAAAAGATGAGGATTAAAATATAATCTTTACATTCGGTTTTTAAATATCATTATTTTGTCTAAAGTGAAATAATTCTTAACATTTCTAAAGTACATTTTGGTGTTTAAAAAAATCATGTTGACTGAATACAGATGGTTATGTCGCAATCAAAATTACTAGATACTTACTACTAGTTACTAGATTATACCTCAAAAAGTACTTATTGGTAATCAAAAAAACTAAATCACAGATGAAGAGGTAATATGTCATACAATGTTTTGGTTGGAGGAAATTATGTAAATATGGAAGCTTTTATATTTTTAACACAATAGTAACATTACAAAACGTACATTTCAAACTAATGGCCATTAAAAAAAAAACTACATGGCAATAACCTATAATGTAACAATAATCGCAATGCTTCAATAAGACCTGGGCATTACCCGATCGATCGATCATTATCTATCTATCGCTAGCCACCTAGCAAGCTAGTAGCTACTAGCGTGTTAGATGGCTAACTAAAAAGCTAGCTAGTAAGATACTGTAACGAGATAGACATATAGTATTTTATACTAGCTAGCTTGCTAAACCTAATAAGCTAGCTAATAAGTCCGCTACCTTGCTAGTAGTTTATTCATGTGTCCATCTGTCTAATAGTCCAATCGTAGCTAATAGCTGCTAGCTAGCTAATAAGATAACCAACTAAAATAGCTATTATACTAATAGCTACTAGCTAATAGCTAGCTAATAGGATAACTAACTAATAAGCTAGCCAATAAGGCATCTACCATGCTATTAGCTAGTTGGATAGGCTTGCCAATCAGTCTAATTATCTATTAATATAGTAGATAGTATCTAAAAGCTACTAGCTAGATAGCTAATAAGATAACTAACTAAAATAGCTATTATACTAATAGCTACTAGCTAATAGCTGCTAGCTAGCTAATAGGATAACTAACTAATAAGCTAGCCAATAAGTCATCTACCGTGCTATTAGCTAGTTGGATAGACTTGCCAATCTGTCTAATTATCTATTAATATAGTAGATACTATCTAAAAGCTACTAGCTAGATAGCTAATAGACATGTATTTATCTCGGTAGCTAACTCACTAGCTCGCAGTCAAAGCACATGTGTGAATATGTTCGGACAACCGGGGCAATATGTCACATTCACGCTTCAACGGTTGCAGGTTGTTGTAAGACGGGCGGTCTGGAGCACAGTTATGTTCAGTGCTTTATTTTAAATTTTCATTCACTTTGTTTGTTTGTAACTTACATGTCTGAAAAACTGGATGTCCAGAGTCTTACCTGTGGGAAGTTTAGAGCCGCATGCAACTGAACCGCTTGACGTGCAAAAAGAAGTCAAAATAACACAAAGGAGATGTTTGTTCCATCAGCTGTTGGTGTGCAGATAGCTTCATTTATTTGCTCATTCAAGTTTATCATGCAGTAACTATTATTTATGACACACTTAAGCTATATTCATGTAGCACCCTTCTATAAAAGTGCTTTATTTTTGTTAAAGGCTTTAGTTAATTTTCCTTCCTTGATGTTTTTTAATTTTCCGGCTGATTTGTCCTCTATGGCAACATGTAACCTAACCTCAGGAGGGACCGGAGAACCGTGTTGCTCTTCATGTCCTCCGTTTCACGGGGTCAGACCTCGGCCACGTCGCCTGCTTCAGCTCAAACGTCCCGTTAAAATCC